TAATTTTGAACTGGGAGCTTTTTTCTTAAAATTTTTTGACTCCAAAAATAGGTGACGGCAATCAAGTCTTTTTTTTTTCAAATGGAAATTATGACTTACCTAATCTACTTTTGAATTCTGCATCGAACTCAGTTACTTTTATATAATTGGAAATTTATTTATTTATTTAGCGTATGGCATAAATATACACAGTACATAATTAAGTCACAATTTAATATCTAAATTATAGATGTATTCAATCGATGCTGGAGTCGCGTACAGGAAGTCCTCTGGATCACCGTCGTATCTTCTTATAGGACATTCGGTTGTAATGTGCTGGATTGTTTGCCTCTCTGCACCACAGTCACATTCGGGACATTGGGTTTGGTCCCATTTATACCGGAAGTCTGTACAGTTTCCATGCCCAGTTCTTATTCTGTTTAGAGTGGACCAGACCTTCCGTGGTAGGCCAAATCCCGGAGGGGTAGTATTAATACCGGGCATGTCTCTGATAGCATAATTGGAAATATATAAACTGAAAGACGACCGAGCTCATAATATTAAAATTCAATCTAAATCTTTGCGTTACATTTAAAGAGTGTTTTATGTAAAATTTAAGAAACAATTTTTGTTGAGTACTAGCCAAAACTATTTAAAGTATTCTTGAGATACACAAGAAGTGTAGATACTGTGCACTCTAGTTGATTATTATTAAACGTTTCTAGCTACTTCCAGAGGCGTACGACAGGGGCAAGTGGCTGGTTTCTACGCTACTGACGGAAATACTATTTGAATCTAAGTGAGTACCCGCTCGTTTCTTGTAAAGATGAAACTTTCATTTTTCCAATTGCTTAAATAATTTAAACCTGCAAAAATATTTTGAACTCAATGGGTACGTTTACTTATTCCTTCCAACCAATAGATGTGTTCGATATTTGAAAACAAATGCTGGTCTCAAAAGAATCATCTGGTTACAATCTAAATAAAATACCAATTTTAATAACATGATTATTCTATCAACAAACAAATTTCATCTACATGATTCTGGTGAGTGTTAATATTTTGAGCGCAAGATTCCTCAGTTATAATATTTTATAGTATAATAGGCAACACGTTGTTAAACTTCTTCAGACACTCGCTCATCTTTTAAGCATTCTCTCCGCTAGCGCCAAAACAAACTTGTGATTAAAATGTCATATATTTGATTCGAACTGATTAAATATGTAATATATCGGAAACATCCGATCGGTCCCAAAAACGTTACTGAAGTGCCGGAAATATCCGAAGTCACTCGCGATCGTGAGTAACTAAGGTGGCGTTTTTTAGTGACACTTCCCACACCTTTGATGCGTACATAATTGGGTATTGTAGAATGAGGAGTAGAAACAATTATTAGTACATTGTGATATTATTGTTTTATTATTGAAAAAGCTAAATCCATAATTAATTAAATTCAAACTAAGATTGGATTAGCACAGATAAGGACAAAAATGTCTTTTATAAGGAGATAAAATAGGCAGTCCCTCGGCAAATTAATAAATAAAAAAGCCGATAATTTCACTTAATTTTAGTTACAATTTTTTATTTCTGGCCGGGATAATTACGCTATCAACATCAAAGTTGACATGGGGAGCCCAGAATTTGTACGCATCGGAAACATATAACAGAATTTGTATAAGGTACTAATTTATTTTATTAGAATCAGAACTGGGAGGGAGCTTTTTTGTTAATTTGTCAAAATTGCCAACATTGCTTTTCGCTTTAACCGAATAGGTGTAAATTTCATCAATTAGTGAAAAAGCCTATATTCAGTTAGATTTTTATTAATGCGATTTTTTGCAATTTCAAACACAATAATCTGGAAATTGAAAAATAAATTAGAGTTGAAATAAATTCGGCAACCGACAAGTTCATTAATTATTCCTTTTTTCATGGATCCTTTTCTAGCATTCTAAAAAATGCAGTAATCGCTCCACTCTATAAAAAAATGGTGCATTATTGTTTTCAAATTAGAGAGCTATAGCACTCGTATCTATTTTTTCAAAAATGCAATTTGGTTTTCGAACAAATCGATCAACGCAGGATGCCGTTCTCTGTTTATATAAGCATATTCTTGGTAAGTTAGAAGAAAGGAAAACAGCATGCGTTTTGTTCGATCTACAAAGAGCATTTGACTTGGTCGATGTTGACATTTTGGTATTAGAGGTAACGCCTTAAATTGGTTAAGGTCTTTTCTTGGAGGTCGTACGAAGTTGGTCAAATTGCGAGACACCTTAGGATTTGAATACGTCTCTGACTCTAGGTCAGTGAATTGCGGTGTACCTCAGGGAAGTTTACTCGGTGCTTTATTGTTTATAGTGTTTATGGATGATGATGTGTTTTCTTTCTTTCCCCCGTACTTACTTTTCCCTTTTTGCGGATGATGCAGTTTCTACCGTCTCTGCAACATCGTCTGAGTAACTTAGCATTACAACCAAGACAACTCTTGAGCAAATGAAACATTATGCCGAAATTAATTAATTGATACTAATTAAATGTAAAACTAAGATGAAGGGGTTTTCAACACGGAATTTAAATAAGAGGTTAGTTAGTTAAGTGTAAAGTTCCTCGCAGTTTATGTAGATTCGAGACTCTGCTATTTCGAACAGATGGCTCACATTCTCAAAAAACTTTCTGTTTATTGCTTTGTCATATGAAGGCTCCATCATCAGGTTTCTTTTTCATTCTCTTAAGTCTTTATAATGCAGAAATGCCTTTTACGGACAACACAACACTCTTTATTGATACTTCCTAGTATGTACATACTAAATTGTACCACTTTCAGTAGAATTAAATCTTAACATACAAAAACCTAAAACAAATTTGCTAAACCTAAAACAAATTTGCTTATCGAACTGAAATTCAAATACACCCTTAAAAACAAGTCTCGCCTATTAAAATATTAAGGATTTTCTTTCTTGTGATACCTTTTAATACGTATTCGTTATTTGTTATTATCTATATGTCTGTTATTTATCTAAAATTATTAATTATTATTATTATGAATTAATTGATTATGCTAACATAATTTTATATTATAACATCCAACACTTGTAACTCAAGTCTTATGTAAATAAAGCTATCTTTATCTTTATCAACATTATGAGGAGTTTCAATTATTTAATTTTTTTAATTTGAAATGAATGTATTCTGTATAACTAGTAGTGGTCGACGAGAAAATTGGCATTTTGACATTGGCATTGACTTTATTATTTTCTGCTCTATATTCTTAATATTCTCGCAACTAATTTTGTTACTTAGGTTACGAACATTTGAAATAAAACAAAGTCATCTACAAAGCTACATTTATCATGGATTGCGATAGTGCCATTTGACGTTAGCCGCCTTCCAACTAATATTTCTTAATTAACTTAATATTTTTTAAGGTTACACCTATTCCACGCATATTTTTCAGTGAAACTGGGTCTTACTTTAGCGTTTTTCAAAATCTACTCTAAATGGACCGTTCTTATTATTATATATCAGAGATATTCCTCATTTTTTATTGAAACGGGTGCAAACTTATAGCCGATATAAACTTTGTCAAGTACAAGTATTGAATGTTGAATGGTTACTTAACGTGTTAAGAACTGAGAGAAGATCAGTTTTTGATTGGCACTCGCACTTGTCACTTAACACAACACTTGACGAATCGGTTTATAATTTGACATTTACACATTGACGCTACATACAATACAAATTGAAATACAAATCTTATTTCCATTAAAAATTAAAGAAATATGTCTCAGCATAAACCTAAAAAAATCAATAAATTGCGCACCACTAGGTCTACTGTTAGAGGTGATTGTCTTGTAGGTTCAACGAGAAAGAGTTGAAGCACATTAATAAGCTGTTGGCAAATTGGTTTAGTCAAAGCTCCACAAATTTTTCATTCAATATTACGCAAAATATACTCCCATAAAATCAATTTAAATTAACTATTCTAGAATTTCAGTTTGAAAAGCAAGAACTGTCAGAAGAAAATGACATTCATTCCCTTGATTCCTTCCTTCAATATAACCTTAAGAGAATAGAAATAGAAAATTCTAATGGTTTTTAACAAAATGGCCTTCTCTTGGGTTTTCTATTCTATTAAGTTTGTTGATAAATTTTCATAGCGCCAATGTAAACACAAGTTTTGTTAATTAAAAGGGAAATTATTCGGGCGCATAAAAATAACAGTGGCCAGACAATAAAGGAAAATTTGCGACACTCAAAGCGGTAAAAATATTTTTCTATCGCTTAAAATTTTTGCGGAAGCCGCTTTCCTTCACAAACCGTTAATGATTTCCGCAGGGCATCGTCTTGGAATATTGCCGGTGTGGCCCTAAAAATCGTTATTTTAAATCTTCGGGAGACAATTGGAAATTGGAAAAGTTATATGTGCCTTACGAAGAGGACTAATGGAACGGAAGAGTCAATATTGGCTTTTCCGAACACGATGTTATCACCGAGAGACTGGCTTATGGCGGCACTGAGAGATAGGATCTTGTCGGGTAGCTTGTTTTAAATTATGATGCGCTCGATCGATTATACGTGATCCTGTTATTTTTTTATAAAATTAATTCCGAATTTGATGGTAATGGAAAAACAGCTTCATATTATCTGAGCGTTATGAAGCATGAACTTGGAACCTGATGTTCCATGCTGTATAATATTTTTTAATACAAATAACATTTAATGAGCCCTAAGAAAGTGTGTTATTTTTATTAGCAAATAAACTTAGGAGCTGTATTGACAATTATGTATTATACGCAGCCTGGTTTCATGATAAACTTACTCCTTGCATAATCATGAAAAGTCTGTGCTTCTCCTTTTGCTGGTAAGTGGCATTCTGCTTTTATTTTTGTTTATATTTATATTAAGTACCGCAAAAGTCTAATCTATATTGGATATTTAATTTTCTTAGAAAACTTGTATTTATCGGAGAATTTCAAAAATCGAAACATACCTAAACGAAAGTTTTTTATAAATAACTTTACCTGAATGAGGTCGCCGTAGTCGTCTCCAGCGGCAGTGAATGTGAGATGACAAATAAACGGGATTTTGTCCTCCTTGGGGCGGTGCAATTCCAAGTCGTAGGTAGTGCCGACGACTCCCAAATAAGTCCGGTTACATCCTGCGAGGAAAGAGAAAGGATAATATAGTTATGCGATTGGTTTTTAGGAGTAGAAAACGAAGAGAAAAAATATATTTGACAAATTCCATTACATCTAGTGGACTGGGGACGTCAAACCTCGCAAGAGGAAGAAAGGGAATTTCATTAAAAAAAAAACAACAAAAAATTGTTACTCGATATTGTATCAATCCTAAAGACAAGATTTCCCAAATAATAAACATTAAATGAAATAAAAATAAACATATTAATATAATAACACACAAAATGGGATTTGTTTCTTGCGAAAATAAAAGTGTTTTCGGAGCGCGAGCATTGAAGATGCCAAGTGAGATATATATATATATATATATATATATATATATATATATATATATATATATATATATATATATATATATATATATACAGTGTGTCCAAGATAAGGATGCACAGCATGGGGATCTCGGAAACTATAAGAGATACAGTGTCGGTTAAATTAGACAAAAGTTGCGCATTTTGATACCGAACAAGATCCCGTTTTACAAATTTGATAATTCCAAGCCGTTCCGGAAATATCCGAGAAAAACCGAAATATTGCGATTTCGTTTTTATTATTTTTTAAAGCTATTTGAAAAGATATGAAAAAACGGAAAACACTTTTCCATTGGCACTTTTTAATCTCTCCAAATTGACGTTAACAAATTTTAATTACAGCGTTTCGATTCCATGGAACCACCATCAACTTTGATTTTTCTTATGGGACGGAAAAAAAGTACACACAGTATTAGGTTGTGCTTTTCATTGCGAATTCAACGATGTACGATACAATATGGTTACTTATGTTTTTATCCAGAAAAATGGATTTTTAATACATTTCAGCATTTAAATGGAGTAGGCCATGACAAAATGACATCCAGTCAATTTCAATGACACATTAATGTTATTTGTCTTTGTTATCAGTCGATCATAAGTTTATTCCTTTAGTTATTGTTTTTGTATTTTTATTGTTGTTGTCTTTTTCTAATTTATTTTGTTCTACAATGGAGGGAGGTAATTTTACAAACGAAGAAAAATGTGATATGCTGTCTTGCTACATCTGATGCCAAAGAAATTGTTTGGAAGTCGAGCGTATGTATTCTAACAAATACCCAGAGCGGAGACAACCTGACAAGAGTATTTTTCGGCGTTTGTTATTTAATCTGAAAGAATATGGATCATTTAAGAAGCCTGCATTATCCCGACAAAAACCTTCCAATGAAGAAAACCAATACATTGTTCTACAATCTGTTATCGAAGATCCACAAACTTCTATCAGAGAAATTGAAGACCAGAATGGGGTAGCTAAATCTACAGCTCAGTTTATTTTAAGGAAAAATGAATTTAAGCCTTACAAATTCAGAATATGTCAAGGATTAAAACCGGGTGACGACGAACGACGTAGACATTTTTGTGAGTGGTATACCAGGATGTGTGATGAGAGTTTTAATTTTCCATATAAAGTGATTTGGTCTGATGAAAGTATGGTGACCAATAACGGTATTTATAACAGGCGCAATACACACTATTGGTCGCAACAAAATCCACGTGTTAATAGACTATCCAGACATCAAGTTCGCTTTGGGTTTAATATTTGGTGTGGGATTTTTGGTAGCAAGATTATAGGCCCTATTTTCTATAATAATTCCTTAACTTCCGAGCGGTACCTTGACATCTTGAGGCACGATTTAGAAGATGCCTTAGATGATTTACCGCTAGGCGCTGTGCAAGGCTGCTGGTTCGAACAAGATGGTGCCCCAGCCCATAACTCCAGAGAAGTTCGCCAATATTTAACTGAACGGTTTGATGGAAAATACATTGGGACTTACAGTGAAACACCTTGGCCTCCAAGGTCCCCGGACTTAACTCCCTTGGACTTTTTCTTATGGGGCTACATAAAAAATGAGGTATTCAAAGAATGTTTTGACAACGAGGAACAATTACGTCAATCAGTACGAGCAGCGTTTAATAAAATTACTCCTGAAATGTTAAGTCGTGTTTTGGAGTCTACCGTGAGACGGGCGTACTTATGCCTAGAAAATGGAGGTCATTTATTCGAACATTTGTTATAGAATTTGTTTTTCATTAACTTGTTGGATTTAGTTGTTATGTTAAATGAACAGTTAGAGTTAGTAAATAAATAAACACATTAACTCGAACTTGTCAACCATTTTCTTTTGCATTTCATCGTTCGGATCTCATGGCCTACTACAATAAAATACTAGAAATGTATTAAAAAGCCATTTTTCTGGATAAAAACATAAGTAACCGTATTGTATCGTACATCGTTGAATTCGCAATGAAAAGCACAACCTAATACTGTGTGTACTTTTTTTCCGTCCCATAAGAAAAATCAAAGTTGATGGTGGTTCCATGGAATCGAAACGCTGTAATGAAAATTTGTTAACTTCAATTTGGAGAGATTAAAAAGTGCCAATGGAAAAGTGTTTTCCGTTTCTTCATATCTTTTCAAATAGCTTTAAAAAATAATAAAAACGAAATCGCAATATTTCGGTTTTTCTCGGATATTTCCGGAACGGCTTGGAATTTTCAAATTTGTAAAACGGGATCTTGTTCGGTATCAAAATGCGCAACTTTTGTCTAATTTAACCGACATATATATATATCCTCCTCGAGCCTGGTTGAAATCCTGCTATTGGTCTGTCCCACGTACGTCAAGTTGCACGATCCACAAGCCACGGTATTACTCCTTGGTTCTCCAAAGTAATTTTTTGTTTTGGATTTCTTAATATTGCTCCAATGGTATGCTCAAGTTTGTATGCCGTAGATACCTCGTGTTTCCGTAATATCCGGCCGATTCTGTCAGTAACCCCCTTGATGTATGGCAGAACAGAGGTCGATGTCTGTTGGGTTTCGTCCTGCACTCTTTGTTGCGGCTGCTGTTGTTTGGTTATTGCCCTGCTGATCGGAACTCAAAAGAGAAACAAGGAGTATATAGTGTGGCTTGCGGATCGTGCAGCTTGACGTACATGGGACAGACCAATAGGAGGATATCAGCCAGGCTTGAGGAACATCGATGAGCAATAAGAAATAACCAAAAAACATCTGCTTTATTCCAGTACCAACACCAGACAGGCCATAAAATTGATTTCGGCACTTGTAAACAAATTGCTAACATTTCTTATTTTAGGACCAGGATTATTACGAGACGCCATCGAGATAGAAAAGTCCGGACACCTAAATACGAGAGACGACGCTCTGCATTTATCCAATACGTGGAAAACGATAATCAAACGGCAGAGCAATACGCAGCAGCCAATGGGGACATCGCAACTACGGTCGGGCGAAATAAACAAAGCGGCACCTTCGGCGCAGGTTATAAATACCGCACGCGACGCCGATAACCTCCCAGTGTTCGAAGTGTTTTCGGAGCGCGAGCGTTGAAGATGCCAAGTGAGATCTTGGCGAAACGTCTGCAGGATTTCAATCGGAGTTCAACAAACGAACGGATAATATCCCGGAATATATTGTCATCGCATTTTTCCATCCGTGAATCAATAGGTGAAAAAAAAAATGTAAACTTCCCTATAAAACATTTTTTCCTAAAACATCCTATAAGCTTGGTGCTGCTTGAAAATGTTTTGAACATGTCTGACCAAATTAATTTTCTTTTTTACTATATCAAAAAATAACTCTAAAACATTTAGCTAGTGCGTACTTGAGTGCTCGTCTTATGCTGTGGGGAAGGGCTTATCCAGCTAGTTAAAATAGACTAAATGACTAATCTCCTAAATCGGACTGAAGTACAAAGTTTACCAACAGTTTACTACCGTATCGATGTCTGTACAGCACACAAAAATTTGTGGAATATTTCTCAAATAATCTTGCGCCTGTTAGGGAAGAGCAAAAAAAATATGAATGACTACTGATCGGAAAATTCACCGAAAGAAGATAGTGACAAGTTAGTCATTCAGAAGCAGGGAGACGTCTAGGTTACATTGATTTAGAAACAATATTATATCTAAGAAGAAGAGTCATTGCAAAAGGGCCGAATTGTGTGTCCAATGATGTAAAAGCTCCAACTGCTGTTCCTCAGGGTTGACATTGCGGATCTTTTTTATAAAATAATTTTATGAATGATAGTCAAGAAATGTATCAGATTTACTTGATTTGGTGGGAGAGCTTAAATTTTATAAATACTTTGTTATAGCAGAATGATGACAGATTTTATTGGCGTGACATGAATTATTTGGAGCTTAATAGATTTTTTATAAATTTTACTTGTTGATGGCTGTCAAAAGCGTCAAAAATGAACTCGCAATAATACAAAAATTTAACATAATAAAAGTGTTAAATTTGCTGAAAAAGTGATAAACACGTTTTTCTTTCATTTTTTTATGTGTACAAAGGAGTTCAAATCCGGCTCGAAGGACCAATGAAATGTTGCAACCTCCTTTGATAGCTCAATAAAGCGACACACATTTACTGGCAATAATACAAAAATTTAACAAGAAAAAAACGTGTCCTTTAAATCCCTTACCTTGGTGGTCTTCGGGTGAAACTGGGGACAGCTCCCTTGTTGTTTAATTACTTGTTTCTCACTTTAAGGAAAAAATTCGCCAATTTTTATTTCCGCGTTAATTTGCGGAAGCAAATTTAAAGAACATACTTGCGTGATTTTAAATTGAAATAGATCTGAGTTATTGAACGTAGTTAAATTAGTTTAGAGTACCTTTTTACAAAACTTCTGTATTCCTCCGAACTTGCTGCCGTTTCGCCAATCATCCTGTTGGCTTCTGAAGTTTCAGTCAAGCTCTGAAGAAGACAACAGGATAATTTTCGAGACGTTAGAAGGAGGAATGCAGAAGTGTTGTAAAAAGTATTACAGTAGCTTGTGGAAGTTTCTTTGAAAAAATAGTTTAGAGAATAATAATAATTCAAGAAATAATAGCAAAATAAAATATATACTTTGGACGCACACGCATAGTGTGAGGACGGATTAGTTATTTTGTATTATTTTTCTT